CCTCTGGGTCACGTCAGAGATGTCACGGGCTTCACAGCGGGAACGTGTTAATAAATCGAGCCAGAGAAGGGTCTTCCTGGCTCTCGGGATGGGGCCGGGCGCCCAGAGGAGTTGGTTGTGAAGACGGTGGTCAGGGGCACCCCGGGGGCATGCTGCATCACCCCCGGATGTCGCTTGGGAAGGGTCTGCATCTGTGAACCCAGCGATCCCGGCTCAGGTGACGTCTCTGCCAGACTGTGGTTCCCTCAGTGCCAGATGTGGCTCAGAGATGGCGCTCCCAGTGACCACGGGGACAGCTGAGTCACACATCCCGCTCCTGTTCTTTGCAGGACGGTGGCTTGCCTTCTTTCCCTCCCCTGCACCCTCTGATTTTTTTTTCTCTTTCGGATGATGCCTGTCTCTGAATTTGCAGAAGGCAGATGAGCTCTGATGCAGCCATTCCTTAGCGAGACGCCACCTTGGTGGCCCCGTTTCATCAGCCTGGGGGTCAGCAGGAACGGATGACCTTTCCCTCATGATCGGCTTCAAGCTCAGGGTGGGGACCGTGGTCCCAGCAGACCTGGGAGTCAAGCTGCAGCTCTGTGTAGGCGGCCTAGACGCTCGGCTCCGGCCAGGCTGTTACCCGCCAACCCTTAGGGACACTAGATTTCAGCTGGGACACGGGCTCAAGGTAGTCCAGCAGAAGGGCGTTGGCTGAGGCCCGCCTGCTGGGCATGAAGCGGTGCCCGGAGGTGGCCCCATTCAGAGAATCAGGTTTGCAGCTCCGGGATGTCAGAGGCGTTGGGATAGTGGAGATTTATTTCATCCCGAGGAAAGCGGTCGGTATATACGGCCTGCTGCCTGGCCGACCGCAGGTGGCCCAAGGCTGGACGATTCTCCCAGCGAACGCCACCGGAACAGGCTGCACCGAGGGAGAAACAGTAGACGCTTTGCATTCGGATCCGAGAAGAGGCGGTGGGGTTCTGCCTGGGACCCGAGACACCCCAGCCCACCGGGGGGCCACGCACGGCCCTCTCCTTCCCCGTCCCCTTCTGCTCGCGGCTTGACATGGCCACTGCCACCTTTTGGGTCTGGTGATTTCTTAATGCCGCCCGCCTGCGGTGGAGACTCAACTAGTAAAATATACATAAGTGGCTGCTTTGCCGAGTCGTCCTTTATGAATATGGCTCCATTAATTTGTTGAGTCAGACGTGGAGGGGTCATAAAAAGTGATTGACTAAAAACAATTAAAACAGTAAAAGTAAATTGTTTGTGTCCATTAAAACCTGCTGAGGCCGTCAGCGGAAAACCGTGGGCCTCCACGTGAAAATTAAAACTATTGATTTCCGCCCCCGAACGTCTGTGAATATCAGAGTTCTAATTTGTTTTGTTTTTTGCTGGTGATAAGCCCCCGAGGTCAGAAGGAAGGGAGGCCTTCAATGAGCTCTTTTGGTGGAGTTAATAAAGATTCGGAAAGACGAATACGAGGAGACACCGGCTCGATGTCCGAGGGAGAAATTATGGATCTGATCCTTCCCCAGGTCGCCCCGCTGCATCCTAATACTCGGTAATTTATTGCGTTTTTTGGGGGGCGAAAATGGAAAATCAACTGCAGAATGTATGATATTCCTAGGGTTGAATTTTTTTTTTAGGGCTGCGCCTTAATTTATGTGAGCGAGATAGATTTTTTTTTTATTATTGTCATTTTATATTTTTATGCGCCGCACTAAATCTTGCATTCCGTGAACTATTATTTTTTTTAGTGTTCAATTAAAATACCAACATAAAAGGGAATTTTTACATGGGCCGATCTCGACTCCTAATAAGAAAACTTTGGGGTGAAAAAAAAAAACCCTCCGGATCAGAGAGGACGGAGGTTTTTCAATCAAGAGACAGGGTGGAACTCAACCCCAGAAGGCAGTGAAAATGGCCCAGCATTTTTGCGAAGCTATCTATCATTGCATCAGGCTGGGAGTGGATGAAAAATCAGACTTAACGTCATTCATGAATCATATCGAGAATGCAAACGGTCGTGTTTGGTAATTAAGTGAATGATCAATAAACAAGCCAGACTTTCTTTTAATCTCTAAATAGAAGTCAGGCATATATATTCTGTTTCTTTTTCTTGCGGTGCTCTGGGAATTGAACTCGCTCTAACACTGAGCTGCATCTTCAGCCCTTTTTATTCTATTTTATTTTTATTCTATTTCATTTTTAGACAGGGTCTCATGCAGTTGCCCAGGCTGGGAGTGGACCTGCCATCCTCCTGCCTCAGCCTAACAAGTCTCTGGGTGGACAGGCGTGCCCCCACCACGCCTGGCCAAGCACGAATTTTGGGAAAAGGGTTTAAAAGTTGCACACGCGCAGCTCTTTGAATTCAGCATTTAACCGGCGATGGCAATTGTGGCTTTATCGGAACGTGACTCTCATGCACGGATTTTTTTTTTTTTTAAGGAAAAGGAGGTTCTGAGGGAAATGGCGCATTCTCTTCCTTTGGGAAGTTGGGGTTCCTTCTCCCCCATTGCCGCCCACTCCGTGAGTCTTCCAAAGGGAGTGGTGTGGTTCCTGTAGAGTTGTTGAGTTGGCCACTCTCAAGGGTCCGACAGAAGGCGTCTTGTTTCCAGCCAGACTCCCAGGTTGCAGAGACTCAGAAGTGACGAGTGGCTGGTGGTTCTGGACACGTGCGTCCCAGCAGGGCCACCAGGGATTGTCCCAGAGGGAGCACAGGACCACGCAGAGAGACTCCCTTCAGGTGCTGAAGCTGTCCTGGGCTGGGCAGCCTGGTGGGAATCTGCTCCGAACAGTGTACACACCTTTGTCCTCCTGAAAACATCTGGGTTTTATGGTTAAGAACTCCTCCACATTTATTCATTTATTTACTTATTTATTGTTGTTGGGAGTCGCCAGGCTCCAAAGACTAACCTCCCCATCCCCGGAGACAGTGGCAGGAAGAGCCGTCCAATGGTGAGCCCTGCTGACTCACGTGATCCTTACCCACCAATCAGACTACTAACTTCCCCATTCCCCGCCCCCAGAAGGGCCGTCCAATGGTGAGCCCTGCTGACTGACGTGATCCTTACCCACCAATCAGACTACTAACTTCTCTATTCCCCGCCCCCAGAAGAGCCATCCAATGGTGAGCCCTGCTTACTCACGTGATCCTTACCCACCAATCAGAAAGCCGCTCGTGCCAACTGTCAAACCGTGAAACCGTTAAACTGTCATAACTGTCAACCCGCCCCAGCTCTATAAATACGCAGAGTTGTTCCTCAGTAAACGGGCACTTCTCTGACGAGGAGCCTTGTTCAGTCGGGTGGGTCAGCAGTCTCACGTAAGGAAGGGAGGAAGCCCTCTCCTCACTGGCAGGTGATTTGTTTGGAAGCAAGTTAGGGACACCTAGTGCATCAAAGCTGCTTGGGGCTGTGTGGGCAGGCGTGGCTGGATAGAGGTGCCCATCCTGCACCCACGGGGACCCCGCCACAAGAGCCGTCCCAGCAGAGGGGACAACCAGAGTGGAGTTGGAGGGGCTCACTGGCTGAGGACAGGCAGGGAGGGTCAAGGTCAGCTCGGCTGTCAATCAGCAGGAAGCTTGGCAATGCCTGAGGTCATCTTTCCCGGTGTCTGAAAAGTGAGAATTTTGTGGTTCTCAAACCCAAGGTCACCAGAGCCACGTGGGGGCTTCTGAACGGCACAACTTCCAGGGTCCTGCTGGGTGTGGGGGGGGGTCCTGCCTTGGGCTCAAGGAAGGCGCAGCACTATTTTGGATAGTTTGGATGCAGGGGACCATGCCAAGAGGCTGACCTGTCCTCCAGGCTCTCCAAAACTCTTGCCCAGCCCCGGAGTGAAGTCGTTTGAGCAATTCCTAGAGGAACACTGCTCACCTGGGCCACCGGGAGTTAAGGTGCCACTGACGACTCCCCTCCGGGTGGAATCGACATCAGAGAGAGTGTTGTCATCGGCTCAGACTAAACAACTGCAGCCCAGGCACCACGGGCCCCAAACTTCCCCACCAATTAACTGCAGCGGCTGTGGGTCAGACGCCCCGGGTCCTCTTTAGGAGCAGGCCTGTCCCAACCCTCTCACCGCACCACCTGCTGCTGTGCAGCTCGACTCGGGCACAATTTTTTGGAGGGTGGGCAGGGTGTACTGGGGATTGAACCAGGGGCACTCGACTGCTGAGCCACACCCCCAGCCCTATTTTGTACTTTTTTTTAGAGTCAGGGTCTCTCTGAGTTGCTTAGGGCCTCGATGTTGCTGAGGCTGGCTTTGAACTTGGGATCCTCCTGCCTCAGCCTCCCGAGATGCTGGGATTACAGCATCCTGATGGAGGGTGTGCGCCACCGCACCTGGGGACTCAGGCACGTGTGTGTGTGTGTGTGTGTGTGGTGGGGGGTGGGTACTAGGGGCAGCTGAGTGCTACTTCCTGCCCGACTTCGTGCCCAGGGTCCTGTTGTCTCCTGCCGCTGACTGGGCACAGAGCTCCTGATGTCAACACGGTTTTGCTGGGATTCCCTGGTGTCATCGTGAAGCTGCGGTGTCAGTGTCACCTGGGGAGCTGGCTAGAACATGAGGGCAATGGGAGTCTCATGCAGCCCGTGGAGTCAGGGTGACCCCCAAGGTGATGACCCCACCTGGACCAGCGGTCCCCGGTGGTCGCGGGCCTCCTCTGGTTGCTCTGTCTCCCCTGTGCGCGGAGCCTGGTGGGAGTGTGGCTTTCCCATCCCCTTAATCCAGGGCTCTGGAGCTGCTCCTGCCCCGGCTCCTGCTGCTGCTCCTCTGGCCGCTCTTTGAGCTCAGCACTCCTCAGCCCCATGTCCCCAGGGGCACGGCTCCTCGGGGACCTGTCACAGTGTGACCCTAACTCCTGGACGCAAAGCTTCTCACGTGCCCCCCCCCCGCCCCCGGAATCCGCGTGTGGGAAACTTAGTCTCTAAATCCACATGGGGATGGAGTTTGGAGGTGGGGCCAATTTGGAATTTGGAATTTGGGAAATAATAAGGGCCAGCTAAGGTCATCACCATGGGGCCCCATGGTGGCCTTGGTGGCTTCGAAGTAAGCAGAAGAGAGGCCTGAGCTGGCACGCACTTGCTATCTCCCTGTGATGCCTCTGCCCTGTCGTGGTAGGGCAGGAAGGCCTCCCTATGTCCTTGGACCTCCAGCCTTCAGAACTGTGAGCTCAATGAACCTCTATTCTTTATGCATTATCTGGTCTCAGAGATTTTGTTATAGCAATGGAAACTGGACTAAGATGGTAGGTCTGGACGCCGACACTGCCAGTCTTTGGCCACACTTGGAGTACTCTGTCCAGCAGGCAGATTTTGGTCCCTGTCTAGGGTCCCCTTCCTAGGGCCTGTCTCATGTGACTACCTGCCCATGGCTGAGTATCCTGGTACTGACTCTGAATCCCACTGATTTTGTGCTTCTTACAGGTAATAGGAAGCCTGCCACCTCTGGGAGGGAGATCCAGCTCTGTCCCTACCCAGGACCTGCAGGGGAGGAAGGAGGACAGTTACATCACAGGTAAAGGGCGTGTCCATCTGGCACAGTGGGAGGGATTAGTGCTGACCTGGGAACGGGAAGTCCTCAGGAGGACAGAGACCTTTGATTTGGTTTATTTTATAGTTATTTTATAGTGAAGCTAGAACACGGGGCTGGGGTTTGAGCTTATGTCGCCCTCTGTGAGGCTGCCGCTTCTCCTGTCCTGTCTCTTTCTTGGTGGCTTCCTGCGAATGTCTCTTCTCCTGGTGGTAAGCTTAGTGGATGGCCATGTCCCTGGCGGACTGCACATGCGTGGCCCCCTCAGCCTGCACCGTGGGGGTGGTGAGGGGCTTCTGAGGCCTGTGTGTGTCGGGGGTGGACTTGGAAGTTCTGAGTCTGAAGCTGCTGGTGGCAACTGTGTGAGCCAGGGACTTCCCAGAGGCCCTCGACTGGGGACCTGGCCCAGAGGAGCTGCCATGTCATCTGGGCTCAGAGTGTGGGGCCTCCCTGGTGAGCCCCTCAGGTGGCCCCGGGAGTGGTACTGGGCTCTCTGTGCCCTTCACCCCGCGTGTTCCTTTGTAGCGTGGATTGTGGGTTTGATAGAAGCTCGGCGCTGGCGGGCCTGGGTCTGCTGTGTCTCCCGGGCCTGGCAGGCACCTGGCTCGCTGGGGGCAGCCGGTCCACACTTGGGCTGGCCTGCGTACCTGGGATTTTGCTGAGTCTTGGGCACAAAAAAAACATGTAGTCCAGACACCGTCATGCCACCGCAGAATTCACAGACATGTACACAGGCCTTCTGTTTACAAAGCAGCTCTGCGATGCGCAGATGTGTTCTGCAGGGTGGAACCTGGGCGGCTCAGACTCCTCTACCTGAGTCTACAGGTGGGCGGGTCTTGTAAGCTGGGGGCGTTGGCTGGCCATCCAGACACTGGCTGCCCGCTCCCTGGAGATCTAAGCTCAACTGGACCCATCCGTCCTCCTTCTCAGAGTCCAGAGACCTATTCCTTCTTCTCTACCTTTTGAAAGCTTCCGGAACCTTCTTTGCTCATTGCTGGTCTGCGTACCCGTTTTCCCACGTGCTGCTTTGGTTTATATTTGAGTTTATTTAAGTCTTTTCAGCTAAATTGTGAGGAATTTGAGGGCAGGGGTTATGTCTACTTTTCAGGTTTGCTCACAATTCTCAGGAAAGTGGTATTTAAATTTTTTTTTTTTTTTTTGGGCACAAAATAATTGTACAACTCTCTGGGCACAGCATGAAGTTTTGATTCACGTATACCTGTGTGACGATCAAATCAGGGTAACCAGTGTCCCTATCACATTAACTTTGATCATTTCTTTCTTTCTTTCTTTCTTTATTTTTAAAAAAATTTTTATTTATTTATTTTTTTATTAGTTGTTCACAACAACTTTCTTTTTTTAAAATAACTTTATTTTGTTTATTTATTTATATGTGGTGCTGAGGATCGAACCCAGTGCCTTGCACATATGAGGCAGAAGTGCTCTACCACTGAGCCATAAACCCAGCTCTAACATGGATCATGTCTTTATGATAAATATGTTCACAACCCTCTCTTCTCGTTTTCTTGAATCATGCAGTATAAGGCTATCTACAGCTGCCCTACTGTGCGACAGCACTCCAGAGCATGTCGGCCCTGTGACTTGGTACCTGTTCATGACCGTCCTCTCCCGCTCCCTGCAACCTGCCAGGCCCCAGTAGCCTCCCTTCTGCTCGGCCACTGAGCTACACCCCTAGCCCTTTTTAAATTTCATTTTGAGGCAGGTTCTTCCTAAATTGTCCAGGCTGACTCCGGAGTCCCTGGGACTACAGGCAGGCTCCCCGGCCCGATGACGATGGGCCTGGCTGATGGCACTTCACCTGTTGTTACCCTGGTCCCTTTGCCCTGCTGAAAATAGGATTTCGTCCTTCCTGACGTGGGACTCGTCTTCCGCTGTGTAAACAGGCTGTGTTTCCTTGGTCCAGCCGTCCCTTGGCAGGTGGGTTCCGTTGTCTTCTCTCTGCACAGGGCGCTGCAGTGAGCCGGAGGTGTGGACGTCTCTCCAGGGCCCTGATTCCCTTTCCCTTGCCTACACTAGTTCGAGGGTGCGATGGCTGCCTCTTCTAATACTTCGGGTTCTAATTTTTTGGATTGTTGTTGCCTTGCTGTGTTTTGTCTCCTGGCTGTGGGTTGTGGGGGTTCCTTAGACCTTCTGGATAGGAGCCATCCAGACATTTTTGCAAAAAGTGCGTGGTTTTGTTTGCGTGGTTTGCAAACGTTTTCCCCCACCCCGTCCAGGCCAGCATTTTATGTGTAATTCCTTGGACGCTTGACTGGCCGGGGTGGACGGCTAGGATGTCAGAGCGTGTGGTTTCCGTGCTGTGGAGGTAGGAGTCTGGACCCAGCTGCCGGAAGTCAGCCAGCCACCAGGGGGGCCGCGTAGGCGGCTCAGGGACCCAGGAGGGGAGCCCTGGGAGTTCCAGGAGGGGCCTGGCCCTGTCTTTGAAGGTCAGACCTGATTTGCTGGGCCTCCCTCTGCCTCCTCTGTTTATCGTGTCTAATAAAATGGAGTGGTTATTTTATTATTTAATAATTTCTAAGATCAAAGGAAATTAAGTAGTCATTTCTGCTCTTATTAATTAGTCTTTTCTTCTTCAAATTAGTTTTCCATTGATGTTCTCAACAGATAAATGTAATAACATTTATTTCTCTCCAGGAAGGCCATATTAAATAGTCTTAGCGGATTTAGCTTTTGATTTATGCTTGAATTTTAAATAGAAAAAAAATGAGATGGAAGTTAGAACAGATAGGTTTGAAAAAAGACATTTAAGCTACTTTCTCCCGACTCTCATCTCTTTTAAGCACATAAAAACCACCCATTATCCCTCTTACCTGTGTGAGCTCTGGTCTGTGTTTGGGGTAGGAGAAGGGAGTAGCCTGAGTATGTAGTCAAGTAATAAAATCTAATGATTCTCTGATCTTTGCGGCACATATCCTAGCAGTATTTTCATTTTCATGAATAGTACTTTATTGCGGGTTTCTTTCCTCCTTGGCAGTCTCGAGGTTCGGCAGCTAGGTATCTCTGCTCAGAAGGAGACACCTGTTCCCTTCGGAGCGCCCCCTGAGTGTCCTGCTCCGGAGTGGGGCCGAGGGGTCAGCGACTTTGATGCTGTGGGGACCCAGGGAACAGCACTGTCCCGACAAAGAACTCGAGCCGTCACGTTCCTAAGTGTGATTCTGGGCACGGTCACCAGAGCAGGGGCAGATGTGACGTGTGGATTTGGCAAGAAGCCTCCATTTTGCTCTCCCAAAGGCTGGACTGTGGGCAGGCCCATCTGTCCAGGGGAGGGAGTTTGTATGGTCCTTTAATCTTGTTAGGTCACCTGCCGATGAGAAATAAAGAAGAACCGGGATTCCCTTGGAAAAGCGGACACACGGCACATTCCACCCGCAGCCTCCTGGGTTGTTTGGGGCGGGGTGTTTCCGTAGCATAAACAGCCCTGGAAAAAGTGGAGAACGTTCAAGGATCCCAGCATCCAAATATTTGTAGGAAAACAGCGATGAGCGACGACTTGAAAGGGTGCTTGGCTGGGTTACCTTCCCAGGAGCTGCGGGCTCAGAGCCAGTCTGGAATGCACCTCCCAGATGGAGACGTCGACTCCTTTTGGAAACCACTTATATCAACAAATAGGTCCAGATCCTTATTTTCTCTTTGATTTTTTTTTTTTTTAACTCTCGTTCTGACTAATGACAAACATATTGGTGTTTGGTTAGGAGGTGCAGCACCCCGTGGCTCTCTCTTGGTAAATAACAGTGCAAGCCAGCAAACAAGATCTCATTAGTCCTTTTGAAGTCCTCTCTCGGCTCCCCAAGCCCCTCCCTTGGATCGTCTGGCCTTAAGTGGGTGGTCTTCGGGTGTGCAAAAGTTTCCTTTTTAATTCATTTAAAAGCAGGTTGCATGCTGTTCATCTCCGGGCCGTATACTGAGGGAGAAGTATAACTTCTATCTGCAACATTCTTTGAAATCTATTAAATAATGATGGGTCAGTGGGTGAAGAGAGGCCTGGGTAGGGAGAGGTAGGAAAAGGCAGGACTGGTAAAATATTAATTGTGGACGCTAGCAGTGCACATATAGATGTTCATGGTAAAATCCAGGTTTCTGCATGTATGAAATGATTTATAAAGAGACCTTGGGAGAGAAAAAAACGGCAGGTTCCCCGGTGGATGAAACCCAGGCTGCATGAGTGGGCGGCTCAGTCCCACAAGAGTCCTGCTTCCAGGCGAGCTCACGCCGTGCTCATGAACTCCAGAGAGTGGGGAATTCCCAGTTCGCAGGAACTTGTTGTGTTTTTTAATGTAAATGTTTATAAATTAAGTATAACTAGCCCCTGCTTTGTCTTCAGACGTCACCCATGAGGTCGGCGGGGAGCTGCCTCCTGGATCTCTTCCTTCCCATTACGCCTTCTTCCCCCTTGCAAACCCTTCTGCGTCTGGAAGGTCTGCAGGGGCGCGTGGCACAGTTCTTTCAGGGGGACCTGCTGTGCACTGAGGACAGCCTGCTCCTCTCGTGAGCTAGCTGGGGTGTCTTTCCCTGGCAGGGCTTGGGAATCCACGCCCATTTCTTCTCCAGCTGTTTGAGGGTGCTCTACCTTGTGTCCCCAATCTTTGATGATAGCCAGATCTAAAAGCCCCTGAGGGCGACTATTACAAAACCCCAAAGACTGGGCGGCTGAAGCAGTGACCTTGTTTTCTAGAGTCTAGATTTCCTTGGCACCATGAGCGTCACCTTCTGTTGGCTGCTCTCTAGATTTGTAGATGAGCTACCTCCTGGTTCATCACATGGCCCTTCCTCCACTTGCAGGTAGAGAGACCTCTGTATCTCTTCCTCTTATAAGAACCTCAGCTATATAGAACTAGGGCCTGACTCTTCATTATTAAGTCATTAAGGGAATGACTGGGGATGTGGCCTTCTCACCTTGAATTGGCATATGCAAATTCAGTTCACATCCTATTGGCCAGAAAAATCACATGGCCATAGGAAGCTGCAAGGGAAGCTGGGAAATGTAGTTTTGCAGCTATCAGGAACATGCTGACCTAAAACTGGCAAAGGCAGGAAGGGCAGAGCAGATATTGGACAGTGAGCCACTCTTTAAAACTCAAAATAAATGACTGCAAAAGTAACTTTCCTCGTATTTTTAATATTTGAGGTTAGGAGCATTCTACTATGCACCAGGAATGTTCTTAAAAAGATTAAGACTGTATTTTATTCTAATGTGTAGATTTCTTTTGATGCCTAAAGGTGAGGAAAGAAGAGCTATAGATGGAAGGAAAATTAGCAAATTGCACTCACCGGACTTGGAAATGAGGTGGTTTGAGATCGTTGCCTCTGGGGTTGGCATAAAGTGGACTTTTTGGTATGCCCTTCTGCACTGTGCTGTTGGAAAAAAAAAATCACGTCTCTTAACTTTTTAATAAAAATTAAAGTGCTTGAAGAATGGGCTTCTATGAAGATAAAGGCTGAGATGGCCAATGAAAATGAAGCCATGAGCACTTGGAATTAATGAAACGCAGTTCTAAGCTGTGTTTCCCACTTCGTTTTTTACGATTTAACCTGGTTATGGGAAGTGAGAGCACACCAGCAGCCCGATAGCCGGGGACCTTAGTGACAGACTGCCGTGGGCGCAATGTGGAGTTAGCGATTCATTTCTGCAGGCGCTAAGGGTCCTACGGGCGTTGAGACTGACTCCTGTTCATGGCGATTTTCAAAAGGCTTCCTGTTCACCCAGTTCCTCCTTTTTAACAGTTACATGTGGGAAAACATGTTTTTTATTTTCCTTTTGACATCTTCTCCTGTGGACCACAGCGAGCTTCTAGTGACTCTGAATCCGTGGTCCTCCTACTTACTGGGCTCAGGGAGGAGGTGACTGTCCCCGTGCTCACGTACTGAAGGCCCCAGCCTGGGGTCACCTGGCAGTGTTGGGGGAAAGCCCTGCATTTGTAAGGAAACCAGGAGCTGTGCTTTTACACCTGCCCAGCCAACACAGGAGACCTAGGAACCTTTTGAGCCCGTGTCCACACCTGTCCAGGGAGCACCCTCCTGGGGCGACTGGGCAGCTCAAGGGAGAAAATGCCTAGAGTCTGGGCACGTGGGTGGCTCATGGGCTGCAATGCGAAGGTACAGGAGTGGTCCTCACCTGGCTACTTAGCAGCTGGGGACTTGTGAGGGGAAAATACCTGCCTGAGGCTGGGCCAACGGAGGGAGAATCTTCAAGGTGGGGAGAATTGAGGGAAATGGTATTTAATAAATAAAAACACCCCCCAACCCCGCAAAAAAAAAAAAAAAAAAAAGAAAGAAACTGTTCCCTGGTGATTTCTATTGAGAAACACGGCAATAGAAAATGTTCCACAGGAAATGGACAGGCAGAGGGACAAACTGACCTCAGTTCGAAAGTAGTCATCAACTTTGAGCTGGCCCATGGGGACGGAGCTCCGGTACAGAGATCCTGGGGACAGGGACAGGAATCATGCCCGAGCCACGGCACGGACGCATACTCCGATTCCGCTTCGGGCTCTCCTGTCCTTTCAAATGTGCTTTTTCTCACGCCAGCGGATCGTTTGTGAGCTGCTGCCTCTGTCTGGAGGGTGTGCTTCCTGGCTGGTTAGTAAACTCTCCTTTCTTCGTATTTCTTCTCTGTGAAGTGGCCGCTGACCCTCCCTACTTGGGGGCACATTAGCTGCTTTTCTCTCCGTGTTCCCATAGCACCCAGAGCACATCCGGTCATTGCTGGGGATGCTCACCAACCACCTCTTCCCCCTCTTTGGGAACATGGTAAGATTGTGTACCCCCTGCCCTTCCTCATAGCTCAGCCCTATCAGATGACTTGCTTTGGCTAATGAAATATGAGGTGGAAGGTCCAAAAAGTAGTCATATTTAGCATTTTCTCTTTATTTCTGCTTTGGCAACCATAAAGAAATGAAGTGGGGGCTGCCATGGGACCCCAGGAGAAAACAGAGCCCCCTGCCAGCCCACCATAAAGATATTGTATAACCCCAAACTGTAAAAGAGCTGTGTCACTTTCCACCACCAAGATTTTTAGGTTGCTTGTTACAACGGCATCCGCATGCTCATCCTGACTGATAACCCCTTGTTCAGCACATGGTTTTGTTATTGGTTTTACCAGAATGTCTCTCCAGAGCAGACAGGGGATTCTTTATGGTAGGTCATGTCATGCTTAAAACGGGGGCAATAAAACACCATGACCCCGAATGTCCCCTTTCTGTTCCCCAAACCCCAGCCAAGTTACGGGAACAACAAGAGCAGGCCTGGGCTGGAATGTCCAGATCTGTACCATCTTGAAGGTCACGGGCTCTCTCCATGCACACTGGAACCAGGGCCAGGCAGAGTATCTGTGGAAAACTGCCTTCTCATAGACACCGCAGGTCAGCTGCTCCTGGGGATGCTGGCCATACGAGCAAGCTCATGCTGACGATGTCACTGCTTCTGCAGCCTCAGTGGTGACGGGTATGGAGCTGAGGGCACGTGGAGAGCACATGTGTCTCTTGTCCCGCTGACTACCACTGGACAAAACTCTGAGAAGGAGGAGGCGCTGCTTGGCAAAGCACAGTGAGGGAGGGACATGCTGTCGTCCAGCCCCCGTCTACTGGACCTTCTCTGCAAGAATGTCTCAGTGTAGCCTTTTGCTCTGTAGTCATCTCTGGGTACTTTCTTTGGTCTCTCGGCAACCGATCCCACGGCCCTGGCACAACCAGGCTGTCGATGGACAGAGGGCTCAGTTGTTTTTGCACCTGTGTTGCCAAAACTTGGCCCGTGTCAAGCTGTGTCACCCATCTCTCATCGTCTTCCAAATTAGCTGGGAACTTAGTGGCTTACCACAGCCAACGTGATTCCCAGGCAGATTGGGGATTTGAAAACAGCTGTCAGGACCGTCCTGGCTCAGTGTCCCTTGGGCAGTCACGTCAAAGTGTTGGTCAGGGCCGTGGTCATCCGAAGGTCTGGCTGGGGCTGGAGGACCACCTGGGACACCCGGCTGGTGAGGTGGTGCCGTTGGTGGTGAGGGGCTTTGTTCCTCCCCCTGGGCCTCTCTGCAGGCTGTCTGTGTGTCCTCCCAGCATGGCTTCTGCCTCCCCAGAGCAGGGGACAAGGACAAAAGTGGCAGTGTCTTTTGAGAGCCTCAGAGGATGCACAAGGCCACTTAGGCCACACTCTGCTTGTCGGGAGTCCAGCCTGCATTGCAGAGAAGGGGACCAGGTGCTGCCTCACCAAGGGAACAGTGTCAGAAACTCCTGCAGCCACCCCTGAGGGGAAGCCCCCCGCAGGCGCATAGTGGGTCCTCAGAACACACTCCTGCAGGCAGCACCGGCTCTCTCTGTTCAGCTTGCTGGGGAAGTGTCTCAGTCGCTTTCCTGTTTTATTACTTTTCTCCTTCAGCAAGGCAAAGGGTCCTCCCTGTTTCGATGAGCCTTTATTTCAGACTCCATTTCTTTGTTTCTTGAGCTCATCTGCCTTCGTGAGAACGAATCATGTATAACAGTCCCGGGACTTTTCGAGAGTCTGCACCCAGGGAGCTTAAAGCAGTAGAGAGCCAAGTCTCACCAATCCTGTAAATTACGCCCAAAGGGTTTTTGTCCGAGGAAGTGAATGGGATTTAAAACAGTTCCTGCTCCTCAGGTGGACAGCATCATCTCTGGCTTGTCATTAGAGGTGCCTTTCTCTTTCCAGCTGGCGATGACCCTCAGGTCCCATCATTACCGCTTGTCCCTGGAGAGGAGGGTGTTTTACTGTCCCTGGGTTTTGAAGAAAGCCCTGCTGGTGTCCCTGGCTGTGCCGGGTCCGGTGCTGGTCTAGGATCTGCATCTCAGCCTGGCCCACGGTGCTACCCGTATTCTTCTCTGAGATTCCCGACCACCTGGCTGGTTAAAGCAGTTGCTCTAAAACACGTTCACTCTTTGAATTCTCTGAGTATTATGCGCCTCTGGTTTCCCTGGGGAGACTGCAGCTGCTTCTCTGTGGGGGCTGTCCCGCCTGCTGCCTCGCCACCAGGAAGCCACAGCATGGCTTCCCCCCAGGCTCCTGGCTGGCTCTCGGCTGCCAGAGTGGAAATGGGGCTCCGAGGGCACCCGGGTGTCCACAAAGGAGGCGAGGACACCACGCTGGAAAGGAGAGGTGACAGCCAGCACCTCGGCCTGTCATGCTCTGCAGGCAGGGTGCAGGGTGACTGTGGCCTGCTGCCGAGGCCCGTGCTGGTCCCTGCTCGCCCTGGTCCCTGCCCACCACGCACTTGGCCTCGGTTCCCTCCTTTGCGGACTTGGTTGCTTCTGTGGCTCCACAATCTGCAGGAACCCTTCACGCCACCGTCTTCTAGCAAAGCACCCTCTCTTTTGCTGGGCCTCTCTGTGAGGTTGACGGGCTCTGTGCTCATTTCTCCACATCAGCGTCCCTCCCCGTCCCCCTGTGCCTGGCGGTCCTCCTGAGTCTGCAGCGCTGTTCCCTGCTGCTCAGAAACACTGACCTCGTCTCCCAAAGCCCGAGGGTCTGGGCTCCCTGCTTCTCCGGGCTTCTTCCCTCCTCCTGGAAGCTTCTGTTTCTCGCACCTGAGCGATGCTGGCCCTCTTGGCTCCTCTCTCGGCACTCCCTTTGCATGACTATTCCACCACCTTGCCTTTCTCTGCTCGCTGACTGCAGACAGCATCTGTCCTCTGCTCTCTCTCCCGGGCCCCCTTGATGGCAGCCTCTACCCAGTGACTCTGGGAGTGCGTTTCTTCCCTCCTCCCTCCCCGTCTTGGCAGGTTCACCTTAGTGCAGGCTCCTCCTGGATCCCGGGGAACATCATGCACCATGGGTGGCTCCCCCAGGTCCTCTGTCCTGGCTGGAGGTCACCCCGTCTCTCCTGGAGCAGAGCCTCCGTTTGGTGTGTGTGAACCGGGAGAGGCTTTCTGCTGCAGACTTGGCTACTGCTCCCCACGACAAAAGTTCTTGAGACAGCGGGGTGAGCCCAGACCTGGGAGGCATCCTGGACTCAAAGGGGGACCTAGCTTAGCAGCTGAAGTCGCACTGTCCTTGTGCCCAGGTGGGCAGTCTCTGTACCCTTCACTTGTGGCCGATGACGGAGAACTTCTCCTGGAGCCTGGAGAGACTCCCCTCCTGGCTGCTGCTCAGGCCTGTGGAGGGCCAGCAGCTCAGTCTGTGGTGATCACACGGCGGCAGCAACCCCTAGTGGACAGCATCATGGTCCCAGTCGGCTTCCAGAGCAATTAGACCTTGACCTCTGGTGTTGGACCCAGGATCTGGGGGGCGAGGAAACCCCTTCTTTCCGGACAAGAAAGGGGGTACTGTTTCCTCCTTAGCACCAGCCACTTCTGGGGACCCCCAGACCAGGTCACCCGAGCAAGTCTTCAGGAGGAAACCTTACAGCGCCCCCTAGGGGGTGTTTGGAGAATGGCGGGGACTTGCGGTGATGGGCGGGGTCTCACA